CGCATGTCCGACAGAGACGTTAATGCCAACCTTTGTCAGTAATCGGTAAAATGTTTTGTTTATAAAACGTTCCCTCTTGAAACCCATATTCATCATGTCTTCTGAATATATCCACCTAGCGGAAACCAACGAGATAGAGGGTTCATTGTTAACGCTGCTGGAAGCTTGAGAACATTCCTGCATTAAAAAGCCCAAACAGGTTTTACTAAACACCTCTGTGCTCAAAATACAACATGTGAGGCATAACAGACATGTCAGTACTCGCCTCCTTTCTCTCTCCCTCATATATTTCAGGTATGGGTGTGACATGTAACATAGTGGTTTGCACAGTAATGCAAATGGCTGCCTTTTATTTAACGGTAATTAAGCAAAGTCTTGTAGCACAGCTCTGTGACCTTGCTCTGAAGTTCCAGATAAGAATCAACAGTGTAAACGTGCTGATGGAGACCACAGTGGTGTGTTTTCACCAGCCTCGGGAACCTCCATCCCTGCTGTGCTCGATTTGTTCACATCCATAACAGGCAATATTACCTAAATGATTACGTAACCAGACACTTCAATGACTGAGCCAACAAGCAGACATTAATACTAAATCTAACCAAAGTCAGATGGGCAATAAATAGCAATCAATATAAAAAAGTCATGCAAAATTAACTAATTATTTCTATTTGGTAGATAATTGGATGAAACACTAAATCAGAGAAGAGTGAGGAAATCGTGTTGCAGTTTTCATCAGTAATATCAACTAACAACTGCGTGTTTTGAAATTGTTATGCAGCTTCAATCAGCATAAAATATTATGGTGATAGTATTTTTTATTAATATTTAGTTGATGCTTCTAGCTAGGCAATAAAAAACATTTTTGCACAACATAAATAATGATAAAGGTACCAGGAATATTATTCTGAATGCTTTTGCACTTTAACCTCTTACATTCCTAACAGCACATTATCAATCTTCATTAATAAAAATCATGTTCAACATTTTAAAATGTTGAATATGTTGTTCATGGTCTCTTCTGGATGCATTGAAGTGTTAGGATGTTGTTCCACCTCCGGTACACAGGGCCATAGAAAAATAAACGTGTTACGGCCAATGCGGCGCTGCGTACACTTGTATTAGGCTGTGTTGGTGCTCGTTAGTCGTCTTCAGTAGACAATGCTATGGGGTCACCTGTCAGTATTGTCCCTGTTGTGGATGTTTCCGGGTAAGGCTGCTCAATTAATCAAATTTTAATCACGATTACGATCTTAGTTTTGAACGATTATAATAACAAAACAAGCCGATTATTTGCTCCTCCCACTTGCTCTGCCCCGAGTTGCAAATGAAGCGCTCCTCCCACAGTGTTGCCAACTTGGCGACTTTGACGCTATTTCCAACAGCTTTTCAGACCCCCTTCTTGAATTTTTAAATCTTAAAAGTACCTACTACCTAGCGAACACCTCAGAAACATCTCTGGTAACCCTTAGCTACTTTCTGGATAACTGTCGTCGACATTTCCTGCAGGTTAGCTAAACACTCCGCCTGCGCTCCGGACCGTTCTTCACAACATTAGGAAAGGGAATGATGTAGTGATGTGTCGGTCGCTAAAGAAACGGCTCTCGGAGCCGGCTTCCTGTTGGATTAACCAGAGTGACACACACACCGCACCTGCGGACTCCTGAGCCGCTAAAAACAGCAAAATGTGCGTGTGCGGCGCGCTAAACACACGTGCAGCTTGTCCCGATTGCTGAGACCGGTTTGGGGGGTGCAGCTGTGGTTGGGACAATTATTACATTAACTGATGGACTTGTAAATAAATAGTTTATAAATAAGGTAGAAATAAGTTCCTCACGCTGATAACTAATAACTAATCTCTCTGAGGACACGGTGCTAGTGTACTCTCCTACAGAACCTTGACACGACTCAATAAATGTTATGCAACATTTTGTGAACATCAATTTATTTGCGTTTATTTGTTATAAATGCCACTGTATAATTCTTGCTGTCAGTATTTGCAAGATATTGGTATTTGGGTCTGTGCTGGTTAGACTTAAATGAGTTAAACCAAGGTCTACAGCCCTTGGGTCATAAACTATGAGCTATAAGTATATTGGTCTTTTTATACTGGGAATCAGGAGTTATTTTAGTGATCATCTTGTTTCTTATTTTTGTCCTGATTGTGCCCTGAGCAATTTTATGGCTGAATAAAAACAAATGAAATCAACATAAATAAAAAAATCATCCTAAATAATCGAGATCTCAATTTCAGTCACTATAATCGTGATTATTATTTTTGCCATAATCGAGCAGCCCTATTTCCAGGGTAGTTCTGGTCCCGGTGCTGTGACAAGTTCCTGACACACTAGAATAACAATGGAGAAGTTGTTTTGTGGTTCATAGGTGGAATTTATAGGAGCTGAGCCACGTTCCATCTTTCCACTGACTGATGACCCAATCACAGGAAAATAATGTGCCCCAGATGACCGTGTCTGTTTACTATGCTGGCGTGGTCCTGCACAGCACAATTAAAGTTAGGTAATCTATTTGAGTAACCGAGTTGTCTTTATTTCTCAACGTCAACAGATTTCAACACACTGCAAAGGACTTCAGCTGTCTTCCAGAAGTTACTTGCATCCAAAGAGGAGAAAAGGTAGGATACATTTGTGCTTTAATAGTGGTAACCTCTCTTTTGTGTTAACTTGGGGACTGATGGAGTTTGGTAAGATATTTTTGTTTCTAAACTCAGGTTGGAAATAAGTGCACACATTTTTGTTAGTGTAATGCGGTAGGACAAACCCACACCTGAAAATGTTCTGGTCATCAAATATTTGGATGCACCTTTACAGTCCACTTTCATTAATGATCTTATCATTTTGCTTCAGCACATCAATTTATGAAACCTTTATACGCTGCCCTGCCAAATCACAGAGTCATCGCCTGGATTTAACTGATTGGTATGAGCCTGCTATTGGATAGTTGCTGCATGGGTGATCATCTTTCAGCTGTTATTTAACCCCAACCGTTCCATTATTTCTTAAACAACCATGTGGAAAGACACATCTGGTGGTCGTGGGAAAGATGTTAGTCTGTTGGAGAAGGGCCAGATCATTGGCATGCATCAAGCAGAGAAAACATCTAAGGAGATGCAGAAACGACTAAAACTGGGTTAAGAACTGTCCAACGCAGTATTAAAAACTGGTCTGATGAGTCCAGATGGACCCTGTTCCAGAGTGATGGTGCATCAGGGTAAGAAGAGAGGCAGATGAAGTGATGCACCCATCATGCCTAGTGTCTGTACAAGCCTGTGGTGGGGGCAGTGTTATGATCTGGGCTTGCTGCAGTTGGTCAGGTCTAGGTTCAGCAACAGGATGTGCTCCAAGAATGAGGTCAGCTGACTACCTGAATATCCTGAATGACCAGGTTATTCCAGCTTCCCTGATGGCACGGGCGTATTCCAGGATGACGATGCCAGGACTCATCAGGCTCAGATAGTGAAGGAGTGGTTCAGGGAGCATGAGACATCATTTTCACACATGGCTGGGCCACCACAGAGTCCAGACCTTAACCCCATAGAGAATCTTTGGGATGTGCTGGAGAAGGCTTTGTGCAGCGGTCAGACTCTACCATCATCAGTGCAAGAGCTTGGTGACGCATTAAAGCAACACTGGATGGAAATAAATATTGGGACGTGTGTGAAGCTTATTGAAACAATGCAACAGCGAATGTGAGCTTTAATCAAATTTAAAGGAGGCCCAACAAAATATTAGAGAGTGAACTTTTCTTTTGATACCGACTTTTATTTAATTTTTTTGGCCGGGCAGTGTTTAAGTCCTACAAAAGTAGGAAAGACCATTTGCAGATGCTTTAAAGGTCTTTTTTATTTAGGAACCACGTTATACTTAATTCTTTTTGGAGTGCAATCGGTGTCTCTGAGTTGCACATGCATTCTGAACATGAAAATGTTTTTCAACCCCTATTACCTGTATACGTAAAGGAAATAGACGAAAAAATAACTGGGCCAGGAAAAGCTAGTCTTTTCTATACTACAAGGAAAATAAGCACTCATGACCTTACCCACCTTGGCTCACAACTCCACAACATGGTGGAACACAAGCGTGTGTTATTTGTGGAGATAAAACATCAGCGTTGCAGTTTTTTACCCAAGAAAGAAGAGTGAAGGCAGCCGAAGAGTCTCATTGCTGTTAGCCAGTCAGAGGCCAGATGTCCAAACATCATTAATGTAAATTAGACTCCAAATCCTGCTGTTTTCTTCCCACCACTCCTCAAATAACTTCTACTTCCTGAAACAGGAGCGCCAGAGGTGTTTTACCCCCACAGAAAAATGGCTCCCAACGCATCATCACACTAGAGAACCCAACATATACATAAAAAATAGAGTGATTGCGATCTTTAAGCAGCAGCTGATGGTCTTGTGTTATTGACACAAATGAAACGCTACATTTGAACAAAAAATTTGAAGATTAAATAAGACAAGAATCTTTTTTTAGCGTAGTCAGGATTTCTTCTGTATTGACACAGGAAATAAGAGCAGCGAGAGGTGAGAGGACTGACGTGAAGAGAACTTTCTGCTACATTTGTTTGTGCTTAAGTGCTGTGCAGCAGAACGATTTGGCTCCTGGGCCTTCTCACTAAAACCACACAGTGGTGTATGTGTTACCCTCAACACGGCTTAAATCTATACCTCCTTCAGTCACGTCGATGGAGACGACAACAGTAGCATGACTGGGTTCATTTGGCATCTTTTTAGAAATGTTGTTTCTGTTGATAGACACAATTAGGAGGTCTTCAAACTAGTTTACATCCCAAATGGGGCAGCTTGGAATAAGCACCATAATCCAAGTCTTTGACCGTAATTAGATGGCACTAACATTTTTAGTCAACACATGATTTCATGATGAATTTAGCTTTTATTTTAAAAATGTTCCTGCTGAAATAACAGCCTTTTCTCCTCACACCACTAGTCTACCCTGTATGCTAGTCAAGTTTGGCTCCAGTCATTGGTCGGCTCCATCCAAGTCCTTTCCATGTTGATGGATAAATTGAAGTCCACTGCAACCCAAGTTTTACCAGTTGGGAGTATGTAGAGCCAGTGAGCGTTAAAAGCTACAATACTGTACTCTCAACCTCTAATGCCTCAAAATTATTTGTCATCAGGCTAGAAAATGTCTTTCAGCTCTTAGTTCTGTGCTGACACCGGAGACACGTTTCTATAAGACTCAGTACAGCTAATAGTTTATCTATTTTAAAATGTGTCTTTTTTTATGGTCTCTCTTTGCTGCTTCTGAAATAGCTTCTGCCTTTAGTCGGGATTACTACAAAAAATGTTTCTGTCAACTTTCTGCATCATCATGAAGCTTTTCTAAAGTCTGTTAGTGAAAAAAACCTCCAGGTAAAAGCTAACAAAGTGTTTCCCGACAAAGTGTGAGCATTAAACGCATCGAACGTGTTCCTCTCCTCAGGGACGTGAATGAAGTAGGTCGTGCTGTTTCAGGAAATGAGGACTCTCGGGCCAAGTTGCTCCTCCGTACGTCTCAGTCCAGGAAGGACATTATAATTTTCTCCCTGAGCAGCTGTTAAGCCTTTGACCTATGACACTCGTGGGAGTAATCAGACTTTAATTACATCTTCTTACTCACTTGAAGACAATCTGTGTAGTAATATGGCTTCTCCTAGTAAATGGGCTAGCACTACCTCCCAGACTGGACTCCGTTAGTTTCATAGACTGAGCTTAACCGGAGTAGCCTTTAACTCGACTCATATTCATCATTTAGCCCTAAAAACAAGGCCTGATAAGGCAGGCTCACGCTGTTACCCATCTTAGGTCAGACAGAATGCAAAACAACTGTGAAAAGTTTTCTCTCTGCAATCATCATCATTATTATTCCAAGTGAGAGGTATGCACCACAGAGCTGGCTCTGTCGAGCGACTCTGGCTCACACAGTTTGGCATTCCAAGCTAAAAGCAAACCAAACTGATATTGCCCTCAATACTGTCTTCATATTTTCTCCATATTTGGAAATGTTTACCTCCTCATGATGGTTGACAGAGGCTGGAAGAGGGGATGTGAGTCATTTCAGCTGCACAAGGCTTTCAAGGGGTGAGAGGAGTCCTCCAAGTGACTAGCATTTAGTCAAGCTAGCAGGTCTGTGTGCTTCAGTGATCTGAAGGGAAAACCGTAAGTATTATTTGTGTTTCTGAGATGAGTTAGAAGATGTAAAAAGGTCTGATTTGCTAGTTTTTAATGACAGTTTTGGGGTTTTCCTGTCATTAGTTGTTGCTGTTTGATCCAAAGTTTGAGCGGTGTCATGAAGGTGTCGCTGTTATTTTGGTGCATTAGGCGCCACACAAAGTGTTCCTGTGCAGATCTGCAAGTGTGGAAAAGACAGGCGATTGTTTGGGATTGTTTCACAGGCTCACACAAAATTCCAGATATTTTCTTTTTCCTTTTAAAGACTTGTTCAGCGCTTCAGAGAGGCTTTTATTTTACCCACCATGTTGAGTTTATGTGCTTCTAATTGTCAGCAGGTATGAGGTTTAGTAGAGAGGCTCTAAGATCTCACCAGATTAAACCCATTTGTGTTAAATAGCTGTACATGAGTTCCTGTAGATATCTGTGGAGCTGCCGGCTTTCTAAATATCCACTCTCACTGATCGCTGCACCTCAACATGTCCAACGTCCCTCCTGGCTCTAATGTTCACACTTCAAAGATGTAATGGCGAGCGCCTGTTAGCTTCTCTCCCTTCTCAAGCTGAAGGAGGAACTAAATGATTTTATTTTGCTCAGACAGCTGTTGCTGCTGACCAGTGATGGAATGGTGTAAATGTCTAACTTTTATGTTTAAATTTCATTGTTACGAACAAATGGTTCTGTTTGCCTGAAACTTTTACTCACATTTTTATCAACTCAGACATTTATTATGTTAGAAGTCATGAACGTTTGTGCAAATACCCCAGATAATAACTTCAGCTGTTCCTATGCGTCGAACCGACTCAACCATTTATTTCTTCAGAGCTTGAACAAAAACCTGAACTGCTTTTTAATGCATCAAGTGTGTGTTTTATTATTTTTCCCCTTTTTTTGCCTATTTTACCCTCAAATCTGCTCAAAGATGTAGACACCTTTTCAGGTTTGTCTCCTCTGGCGCCAAGATTTTAGCAGCAGATTCTTAAATTCCTGACATGAAGCCACTGCACTGCTTTTCTTGTTGCAGCACATCTCCCCCCCCTACCCCCCAGTGCCTTATCACTAATGTGGTCTGTACCATCACAAGGCGTTCTTGGAATACTTGCAGGTGCAAGAGAGAAACCAGTTCTCTGGTCAGATCGCTCCGTCGGACCTTTCCCTCTTCATGCTGATAGACTAGCACTTGCATTGCTATGTTTCAGATTTAGACATAGCATTCTGCAAAACTCAGTGGTTTCATGGAATTAAAATGAAGGTTTTGAGCAAAAAGGAAGTATGCATCACATGCATCGCTTTTTTAGCAAATTGCATGCAAGTACTATTAGTACATCTGCTCTAAATTAAATGAATGGCCTTATATTCTTTGAAGCATTGTGTGTCACCCTCCACCTTTTATGAAATCATTTGGAACAAGGATAAACTTATGTTGTCAATTTCAAGTATAACATTTTTTTACACACAATTTCATATGATCTGTTATAGGGCTGGGCGATATGGCAAAAATAGAATATCACGATTTTTCCAATATTTTATCACGATTTCGATTTTATCACAATTTTTTTCCATGGATAGCATAACTTCAATTGCGTATTAAAGAAGAGAAACATTGAATAAACAAACATTTATTCATATCAGGGATAATCAGCACAGTGCTAACACACTTATGTTTTAAACTCACACCAGAGATGATAAAAGCCCTGAGAGAAACAATTACAAAAATCTGTTTTTCTCGTTTTTCAAGTTACTTAACATAAATTAAAATCGTAAACATATTTAAAGTGCAAACATGTCAATTGCAAACGTATTGTGCAAACATTAACTTGTTCAAAATACTATGTAGCTCCCAGTTGCTCATGTAGTGGATAGTTAAGCTCAAATACGGCTCTGACGTGCGGCTGGACCAGAGATCGCTTGTGGTAGCAAAAAACTGCACATTCTGAATATTTTCTGCAACTCTCACTTTGCATTCAGCGTACATGCGTGGAATGGCGGTGTTCGAAAAATACTTGCGGCTGGAAAACTCGTAGCGCGGATCCAATGTTTTTATCATGTTCTTAAATCCCGCTCCTACTGTTCGCACGGGACACAAACCTTTAACCAAGTGGTACGTCACTGCATCTGTCACGCTGTTCCATCGTCTGCTGTCTCTGTCGTAGGGAGTGAGTTTTGTGAGTGTTTCTGTTAGCGTTTGCTGCCTGGAAGAAGCACTAGCCGCTGCAGCCGCAGGCTTTTTAGCCTTAGCTGCCGGCTGGCTCTCATTGTATTGTTTGGGATGCCTTCTTTTCAAGTGATTAAACAAGTTTGTGGTGTTGCCATCACTTGTCTTGACTCTCTCCTTGTAAATGATGTTTCGCTGCTCTTTGTCATCTGGTGAAAACCAAACCAGTTCCATATAACGGACGAGGCGTTCCTCTTCGGAACGAAAACCTCGCTGTCGCTCTCAGCCGCGGCCGAAGCCATGTTTGTTCATGTTGTTTGGTTAAGGTCAAACAAAGGCGTGTCATTCGCCTGAGGTAAGTTCCCTTTTCATTCGGAGGCAGAATTTCAACAGCAGAGCTGTGAATCGTGATAAAAAGGTCTCTCAAAAATGACAGACCGTCAGATGTGTAGATCGTAAAACGGTCTAAAATCGTCATATCGCCCAGCCCTAATCTGTATTAGGGTTGTCACGGTGTTTAAATTTAACCTCACGGTTATTGTGACCGAAATTATCACGGTTTTCGGTATTATCGCGGTATTTTTTTAAACATGTTAAATTTTCAGGAAACTACATAAACCCTGTATATCAGGAAAATATTGTCCTAAGTTTGTGTCTAAATTTTGCCTAAAATGTGTTATTTTGTAATTAAGTAGTTTATTTGTTTACATTTTTCCCCTTTAGTCTTTAAAATACAATATTTGCCCATAACTTCTTATTTTATGTCTGTTTGATGTCATCATTTTAAAAATATTAGATCAGACGATACTCAGTACTCAAGTAGCCTTCTAATCAGATACTTTTTTACCCTTACTTGAGTAATAAACCCTATATCAGGAAAATATTGTCCTCGATCTTCGTGAGTCTTGTTTGCATGATGTAAAGTTTTGTTTCAGCACGGCGGTTTTTTAGAGTGATGAGTGGCGGCCCTATGGCAGACAAACCAAGACTGAGTTCATCGATACATAAAAATGAAACACAACCAGCTTTTTGAAATTTTATTGGCCAAACAAATAGTTAATTAGAAAGCAGATGGATGTATTGTATAAAATAGTGTTAGTAGTGGCTTTGGTAGCTTGTTGATGTTAGCATTAAGGTTTGAGCCCCACAGATTTTAGGTGCTCCTCCATCTCACCCCAGGAATCGGATTCTTCCTCGATAACTCTTGTTTTCGCTCTGGATCGACTTCATTGGAAGCAGAATCCTTTTAAATTTTCAAAGAAGTTGACACACCAGAAATCTGTGCTGAGGGTGTATATTTTTCTGAAGATTTATTTATTTAGAAGATCCTGGGCAGGGACGATGGGAAGAAGTTATGATTATTATGAGTGTTTTTGTGGAGCAGGATCTCTAAAACATTGGCTGAATGTCTGAAAACTGAATCTTTAGAAAGGATGAAATGAAAATCTGACTGTTAAGGTATACGTATTAACACATCTGGTCTAGTTGCTCTGATGCTGTCCTCATTCAATCTATAACAGGGCATCCGCGGGTCTTTAAAAAGTCTTAAAAAGTCTTAAATTTGCTTTTCCAAATGTAAGGCCTTAAAAATCCTTAAAAATTACTAATAATCCTTAAATACGGTTTCCAAAGGTCTTAAATTACCAAAGACCCAATAAGCAAGATTATTTTATTTCAATTTTCATGAATTTCTAGTTAGTGTTCAGCATTTTTTGTGTACGATGTTGGCGTAAGCGGAACCGTACACGTTCAGTTGGTTATGAAAGGGGGCTTTTTTAGATGAGCACATTAGCTGTTTAAGCTAGTGGGAGATTGCGCCATGGGGAAGTGCAACTTTTATGGTTACTGGATGGCTAATCCCACGTTCGCAACGTGGTTAGCACCGGTTCCAGGCAATAGCTGGAAATTATAGTTTAAATTTAATTTAAAAAAAATAGCTTAAATTTGGTCAAAGTGGCCTTAAAAAGGTCTTTAAAAAGTCTTAAATTTGGCTCCCTTAAACCTGCAGATACCCTGTATAAGCAACCTGACCTACACCACTGATATGTGTTCTGACCAATCTTAAAGACAGGATTTGTTCCATTTCTTGTGACTAGCTGCTGATTGTCCGGCAGCTGACTCTCGTGTGGCTGCTTTTGAAATGTTCATAATTTTTGTACAAACAATATAAAAATCTAAATGGGCAGAAGGCCTAAAATTGGATTTTTACAGTCTTGAATTTTATTAAATAAAAAAAAAAAAACAAGAATCAAGACTACGTGAGTGTGTGAGTTTGATGTTTGAAACTAGCCTGGTCAGCCATGCCAATTCTTCCTTATGAGAAGCAAAGGTCCTGGTGACTCTCCTATTCAAATAACCCCAGCGCTGAGCAGCGTGTCACACATCTCGATGCTCAGTTTCTCAAACAACGAAGATGGCGTCTAAAGCGGAGTTCACTGTGGCTCTTTCCTGTGTTCTCATTGACTCGGACATGTATTTAAAACCACAAAATGAAGAAATGCTAAAACCTTTCTTTTAAAGAAAGATGTTTGCCAGACGCCATCTTTGACTACAGCTTAAAAACTACAGCGTTGTGCGACATGGTTATTGGTTATTTGGTTATTTTTGAGCTGGCTAGTCCCGCCCCTCATGGTGCTCTCTGCCTCTGAGTGTCCAGCCTCGTCCTCAGGCCACGCGAGTGTGAAACAAGAGTGGATATTAGAAAGACTGAATAGTTTAGTATGTTACTGTTTGGTTGTCAGAATATTGGTGTTTATATAAACTCCTATTGAATACATAAATAACCTTCAATACACTCAAACTAATTAAAATTAAGTGCCAAACATTTTTTACA